CGTCTGCTCAATTCAGTGTGAACCGAACAAGAGTCGCATTACAGATCCGCACCAGGAGTCAGATTTCTCCTCACTTCGCCCATTTCGCATCACTGACTGACAAGACGATGGCGGAAGATTTGTTTTCAAAGCAAAATGTAAAAGCGTCTTGTAAGGCCCGTCTCAATCGGCCCAATGGAGGCATCCAATCAGCGTGGAAGGTCTCTGCGTATTACTGTCTTTCCGCGTGGCAAAGTAATTTGATTAAATGAAATACATTTTCTCATGTATTATCTCGTTTTTTCATCTGACTCCAGAAATGAAAAGGTTTTAATGATATCTGTGCATCATTAAATGTGAGTGAGTGTTTACTATTCTTTTTAACTCTTTACTGAAAATAATGTCAGAGTCGATTAGAATAAAATCAAATGTTTACAATGTGTTATGTCAGGTAAATGTATCATGTCAATTTCAAAATCAATTCAAAGATAATCAATACAATAACATCAAATGAGTAAAAGATGTAAATTAAAACCGACATTTAGATGTCGGGTTTAGAGGTCTCGGCGACTCTCAGCATGCACAGGCTAATTTTGAGTTACAAAACGCCCCAAGTCTCTTCTTGCATTTCTTTATATAGCCAGAAACTTCTTTCACATGGAAACATGTGCTAACAATGGAAATTTGCATTCAGAGGTTATACCTTTTGAGAGCAGAGGACCATTTGCCTGAAAGTCACACCCTTCTGTGTGCAAGATATTTCTAAACTCTTACGAACTTTATTACCTTTTGGTTTACTTCTTTGGGAATGAGACATTTGTACCAGTCGCACTGAGACATTTCAAAGAATACCAAACATGTATACAACTGTATAATTGTTCACATTAAGACCATATATATATTGGATGAATTTCAGGTGATCTCAGCATGAGAGAGAGAGAGTGTGGGGGTAGAGGGAAAGAGATGTAGATTAGAATGATTCTGAGGTGAGACTTGCGTCTCGATTGGTGCACAAGAGTGAGTTCAAATGTTGATTTCCTTTGTTCTCTCAGAGAGTAGCCCTCTCTTACAGTTCTTCCTATTTAAGCGAGTTTGTCATTGTACTGTTTTGTTGTTGTGTTTTTCATTAAAAATAATAAACCCACCATTTAAGCAGTTGCCGCCCCCGAATTTGCACAAATTCTAAAGTAAAATGTGCACGGCCACACAGGCATTCATAATGGTGCGTGTCCACTGGCGCGGAGCAGAGCGAGCATTTTCAGTTTATGCCTATGGAGGATGAGCTTCTATAGGAATTAATTGAAAACCTTTGCTCTGTTACAGTCCCATGTCGATTAACCAGTGAGAAAATTTCCTCACTGTCACATCCCTACTACAAGGGATGCGTTACAGGACGAAAGACAGAGAGCTGTACTGCCTCACTGCCTTGGCACACAGGGACAACGGATTTTCTACTCATTGCCTAACACAGGTACAACGTATAAGGATGCAGATGATGCATTGAAAGCCTATACTTCGTGCCAAAAGATAACATAGTAGCTAAACGCCACACCTTCCGTAGACGTTGTCAGGCACCTAACAAGACAGTTATACAGTACATTGCTGATTTGCAAGAGCTTGTTGTTTCATGTGAGTTTGGTGCCAGTACTGACAAAATGATTCACAATCAGTTAGTAGAATGTGCTTAGACCACTAATATGTGAGAGAAGACTTTTACTAGAAACTGATCTTACACTGGACAGACCTTTTATGATAGCAAGCCAGATTGAATCTGCTGCTGATCAGGCTAATTCCATTTCATATTCCCGCCAAGTTAACGCCCCCGTAAAAGCAGTACCGTACACAGTAAAGCGGGAAAGCCTTCACATGCACCTCTTAATTCTGCTTAGATGGGCAAGTGGAAGTCTTGCTTTCTCTGTGGATCAGAGGCACACTTATCTAATGCTGTGAACTGCCCGGCTGCAACTGCTACATGCAGAAAGTGTAAAAAGATTGGACATTATGCTAAACTGTGCCGATCAGCGCAGTTAAATACATGCGAGGGCCGTGAAAGTTAATTACCAGAAGTTACTGTACTGTACACTGAATATTCAGCTAGTACTCCCAGTATTAAAAGCACAGTGACTATGTCTACTTCTGACTTGTGTGGTGGATTTGGTGCTTGACAGTGGGTCTTCCATATCTACCCTGCCCTACAGCACTTAATGTCGCAACACACAGCCAGGCTTGTGACGTATTCAAAAGCCCATATTCCGGTGGTTGGATGTTTGTCAGCGAACGTTTCCCTATATGTCCACTCACTCAGTTCCTGATACGTTCTTCATTGTGGACAAAGGGACACCTCTCATGGGGAGGGACCACATGCAGTGCATGTGAGGATTGAAAACAATCAAGTCCTGCCTCCTATTCATACTTTGCACGTGACGTCACAAGTACTGGCTGGCGGGCAAGAACGTCGTTCTCCAGCAACGAAACCCAGTAAACTAATCAAGGATCTTGCCAGGACGTCACCAGTTTTACTATACAAAAGTTGGTGTTCTGAGGTTTGTGATATCTATGGTTTTCAATGAGAACCAGAGATGACCCAACAGTAGAGCTAGATTATTTACGGAGGAATTATTACTGCTCGATTATCCTAAAAAACCTTGTCTGCTTTACACAATTTAGCTACCTTGGAGTTAATCCTATTTCTAGTCCATAGTTATGCAGCTAGCTCGCTAACAGACTTGATAGCTACTAAAAGACCCATAAGACCTGGAACTACAGGATTCTACGTTGAAAATACCCGTTTGTTGCCCGCCAGGTATCCATGGTAGTCACGTGACTGCAAAGTATGAATTGCCCTTCCTGTGCCTGCTTCTCCTGTGCCAGTCTTTCAGTGTACTTTAGTTTAGATGTGTTAAAATTGTGCTAAAACTTTCGGATGTGCTAAAAGTTTATTCACCGCGTAAAGCTGGATGAAAGGGTCACACTTGTGTGCCAAAAACTTTGCCATCTGCTACTCTCTGTTGCTACTCACTCTCTAGTGCTGTGTCAGAAGAATTAAATCACCTGCAAGCAGCTATAGGGTGATGGAAAGCATCGATGACTCTGCATGGGTGTCACCAATTGTTGTTACATAGAAAAAGTCAGGTAAAATTAGGATGTGCCGTTGACCTTAGACAGATAAAGCAGTGATCGTGGACTCTTCCATCGCTGCACATGGATGAACTACTCTATGCTCTAAAAGGTTGTACTGGGGTTTTTTTTCTACCATCAACCTGACTAATGCTTACTACCAAGTGCTGCTGCATGAGGACTTAATTACTCACGACGGATCAGTTTTTGTTGTGTTCCTTACAGATTAGCTTCAGCACCTTTGGCCTTTCAGAAGATGATGACCATCATCCTGGCTGGCTTGTTAGGGGTTAGGGGCTACTTTTCACTCCTTACATAGACTTATGTCATGGTACAGCAAGTTTATTCCTGATTTTGCCACTGTTGTAGCTCCAGTGCATGCATGTCTACAAGATCCAAATGGATTCAACTGGTCAAAAGAGGCTGAACAAAGTTTAACAGAAGTAAAACAACTGCTTACAAACAAACCTGCTTTGGCATTATTCAACCCCACACTACACACGATTGTCTCCACAGATGCTTCTGACTATGGTCTGGGAGCCACACTTTCTCAGGTCAGCCCAGAAGGCATTGAACAAACTGTGGCGTTTGCATCACGTACGTTGTCTACTGCTGAGCGTAAATATGCCATGGTGGAAAAGGAAGCACTAGCGTGTGTGAGAGATTACTTTTTAGATTTAATTTAGGGTTTTATTCACATATATTTACCATAAAACATCTCAGAAACAATTTTAAAGAAACAATCTCACTAGCCGCATTTCCACTGTCGGGCCAAAAGCGGGAGTGCTAGTCCCAAGGCCAGTCGCGTTTCCACTGTCACTTCCGGGGCTTGATTGGGCCTCGTCGGGGCTTCCTCGGGGCCAACAGCCAGGGTTTTCTGGCCCGCCGAATACCTTGGTCCAAAGCTGGCCAGCTCGGGCTATAGGAGGGGTTATGAACAGAGGTGGAGTTTACCTAAGCCGGGAGACGGCAGGCTAACATCAGCATTAAAGACTTTTAAAATAATTTACCTCAAAACTCACTTTCATGTTTGAGTGCCTTCTGTTTGTGATCCGATGTGGATTCTGATCACCGTATAAGGTAGAAATATTTATACACACGATGCAAAACACTATGCACGCTAACCAATATGGTAAATATGAACGCTTGAAGAAATCAGTCAAATCATAAAGGCTATCACAATCATTTTTTTTTTTTTTTATCTGTCAGTAGCCTACGTCTCGTCTCTTTATACCGGACTATCATAAAATAAAGCAACTTTTTTTTCGGGAGCTTCCTCTGGTTCTCTGACTGAAAATATAACTGTAGCCTACTGGGAGAGAGTGCTAAAGCTCATCAGGTCGTGTTTTTGGTGGCATATTTGTAGAAATTATCATTCTTTCTAAATGTGATGTAAATATGTCCTGTAACTACCAAATAAACAGAAACAGACGCAACTGAATAAGTCTGTCCTCTTTCTTTTTTGAAATAGATCTAATGGTAAGCCACTTTATTTCTGTGACTAATGTTCAATTTTGACACAAATTAATTAATTATGATCAATGTATCACTTTTTATTGTAAACCTGTGGTAAAACATCGATTCTTGGGTTGTAAATATTCAAGTAAACAACAAAAATGCCAGTAAAAGGTCGCTTTTATCATGTTTGTTTTGCGATCACGCTGTTTCCAGTGATTTCTTTCTGATTAGTTTTCTGATAAAACTTCCATTTGTTGGTGAAATGATGAGTTTGTGTAACATTGTTCCAGAGAGGCGTGTTACGGGCGTGTTTTAGTGAAGCGCTGTGGAGCTTCTGGCCCGACAGTGGAAACGCAGTGTTTTGGACTCGGTGCTACAGGCCCGGGGCTTTTAGCCCGGCACAACTCGTTAGCCGCACGACTATCGCACGATAGTTTGTTTCCTTTGTCCAGGCGCTCATGTCGTGTCTGTGTAGCACGCTGTTCGTGTTTTCATCAGCCGTGTGCTTTTTGTGTTATGTTTTGTGTTTTGTGAGTGTTCTCATGGGGTGCATGTTCCTGTCTTGTTTTGTTTGAGCACATGGCTTGTGACTGTTTTCGTTAGTCATGTGCTCATGTTTTTGTTTTATTTGGTGTGAGCACATGGCTTGTCATGTTTGTTTCTTTTTACCATGTGCTCTCCTTTTTATTGTCTGAACCCTTCTCGCACTTCAAGCAAGCATGGTTGAGCTTCCATTTACCATAACTGATGTGTGCGTTGATGAATGTTTATATGTGAATAAAAGCCTAAATTAAAGGAAATTTGGACTAAAGCACTCAATTTATATAGATTAGTTTCTCTTTATGAACTTTTTGAAGCATCAAAGTGGTAGTTACGTGTCAATGGAGGGACAGAAATCTCTCTGATTTCATTCAAAATCAGATTCTCTCTGATTTAATTTGTGTTCCGAAGATGAACGAAAGTTTTACAGGTTTGGAATGACATGAGGGTGAGTAAATTATGAAATAATTTTATTTTTTGGTTGAACTAACCCTTCAAGGACAACTTCGTCTTCCGAGGCTCACGGCTGTTTGCACTTGCTGCTCTTCAATTTGTGCTGGTCTCCATAGCGCACAAAGGACATCAGGGAAAGGTGAGAACTAAACAACGCCTTCATGATCTCAATTGGTGGCCAGGGATGGATTCTCAGGTTCAGGATGCTGTCCGTTTCTGCCACGTGTGTCAGCTCAATGACCAAACTGTCAAGTCACATCCTGCTCCTCTCCAGCCGGTGTTGCTGCCAAATGGACCATGGCAGAAAGTGGCTGTGGATATAGTCATGCCATTTGATACTGCTGCATCCTACTGCAGGTTTGCTATAACATTAACTGATTATTACAGCAAATGACCTGAGGTCTCCTTCACTCACACTGTCAATACTGATTCTGTGGTTTAGTTTCGGTCATCAGTCTTCAGCCGCCATGGAAATCCATTGAGTAGTTACTGATAATGGTGTTCATTTAATGTCTGCTGCTTTTCTGGAAGGAATGAATATTCATCACCATTGTTCTTTTCTCTACTACCTGGCAGCTAATGGTGCTGTAGAGAGGTTTAACCCTGTGCTCAAATACACTGTCCAAATGACCATCTGCAACATCAGCCATGGAAACTTGTGGTAACTGACTTCTTGCAGGTGTACAGTACAACTAGTACTTCACCCTTTCAGATCCTCTATGGCTCGTACTCCTTGTTTCCAGGAGGGGGATAAAGTAAGGGTATGGAAGCCCTTGTATGTTCCTAAGGGGACACGGAAAGTTTACTGATCATCTCACAGTTGCCAAAAGATTTTGGGTGGGTACTGTGTTCTTAGTGATGGAAAGACATGGAATGCTTTCCATCTCACTGCATATCCAACAACTCTGGCTGAGAACACGGCTCACTACATACACTCTCATACCATTATACCTAAATGTGATGTTCGGAAGCCTAGTTGGTTAAAGGACTATGTTACTTAGATCTGCTGTAATATTCTGTTATTTAAAGAGGGGGAAAATGTTGTGTTCATAAGTGAATTGTATTGTTGACTACTATTTTGAAAAGTGTTGTGTTCTGACGTAACGTGTGTGACAACGGGAGTAAATGAGTAAACAAGATGGATGAAGTTTGCTTCTCCTGTCTCATGTGCTTCATTGTTTTATAACTCCTGAAAGATACCACACCATTTCACCTTTCAGAAGTGGTCAAATGAGCAACAGACAAACTGCGAGAATTCATTTTTATATATTTTTATAATGTTGAAAAGTGATGCATGAGCAGCTAATTTTTTTAATCTTTTCAGATCCTGTCTCCTAATAAACTGCAGCGCAAACAACGACCTGCAATGTCTCATTGCAAAATGAACTTAAGCATCGGGAAATGCTCAATACCATATAAGACGAGAATTCTAGATAGCATTTACTACACAGGGCACAGCAGAAAGGCAGCAGCACTCAAAAAGACTCTTGTGATGTTTGTGCCGACATGCATGTTCAAATGTACATTTTAAATAGTGTACTTGCTGCACATACAACATTACTTACGGTATTGATGATATCACCGTTTAAAAAATAGAGTGGGATCGGCAGTATTTTGAAGCATTAGTATCGTAATACTACCATAGGATCGGTATACCGTGCAACCCTAGGGCTTACATCACACGTCACAATGTGCTGCCATTCACATCAGGCTAACAGTTGACCGTTGAATCTGATTTTTAATGAAATCAGAGAGATTTCTGTCCCTCCAATGACATGTAACTACCACTTTGATGCTTCAAAAAGTTCATAAAGAGAAACTAGTCCATATAGCAATGGTTTATAGTTCTCATAATCATATGGGCATGTTAAATTTTGTTTCAAAGTAAAATGTAAAAAAAAATATATTTAATAGAGTAAAAAAAATGTATTAGGCTTATACTGTGACATGCGAAAAACAGACAATTTGTTAATCACAAATATTAGTTTGACAATGGTCAACACAAAATTAAAGATCGTGACTACTCCCACGTACGCATTCCCATCAGAATATTAGGTAAATAAATTCAGAACGATAATAGATATTTTTTGTTTGTATGGTTGTTATCATTTCTGTTTTCCCAGTCTATTTTTTCCAACAAGGCTTTGTTGCAGTCAAGCCATTTCATAATTACCATAATTATTTGATGATAACCTGGAACATTCTACTTGGAGATGTTCAGGTCCTCTGACTCAGAATTATGCGTTTCTATGGCAAGACTATTAACACGGAAATAAATCTGAGTAATAAGTAGACAAAACCGCAATACAACAAATAACAGATGTTATTTGTTATTCAAATACCTTATTAATAAACACAGTTTTAGCAGGACTTTGTTTTGTTCTTTCCAGGTTATGCTTTCATTATTATTATATTAACAATATTTAATTATAGGAATTGTTAAATATTGTGAAATAACTGCTTACAACTTTATTTTACTTAAAGTTAAGTTAAAGTTGCTGCCATTTCTGAGTTTCCACATGATGTTGCTGCGCTCAGGTGACACAAGTTGGAGTTTACAAATTGTAATTACAAGTTCTAAGAAGATGGGAATGCCTTTTACTTGTTGGAATCTCATAATTACGGTAACTCTGACATGGCATGAAGCACCGTTATTCATGTCATCCTTCAAATCCATGTAGCGTTTCCCATCTCTCTCCTGGATTGTAATTAATATATAATTGTCATAGTCCTCTTGGCGGCATTTCTTTCCAGAGCTCCCCTTACTGATCTTCAGTCAGCCATTGACTTTTCGGTAACACTTTATTTTGATGGTTCCTTTTGAATATTCTGTTGACTATAAGTAACTTTGCAACTACATGTTAACTAACTCGCATTAGAGTATTAATTCACTGTCTGCTTAATATCTGCTAACTCTTTATTGTGATGGTCCTCCAACAGACATTCTACTAACTATAAGTAACTTTGCAAGTACATGTCAACTTATTCAAACCCTATAACCCTACAAGTTTACTAATACTCTACTAACACTCTAATAAGAGTTAGTAAACATGTAGGTGCAATGCTTAGTCAACAGAATGTGTTAAAGGGACCAAAATAAAGTGTCTGAGCAGCTTCCGCAAGCATGCTGTAAACAGTATGACACCAGTGCCTAAAAACATAACTTTTTTTCAAATGTGCATTTTTTTTTGGCTAATATCACCCACAACCTCTGGCTAAAATTGTAGAGTGCCCAAGGCCAAAAAAAGTTAACAAATGCAAATAGTTTATCACCTTTGGTTTTTAGAAGGCCAGAGATCATAAACATCAGAACTGTCAGAAGTTGTTTGTCTTGCACATAATTCACACATTCACAAATGTATTCACACTTGATATTTGTAAATTATTTTATTTTAGAAGGATGGGCAAAATTAAGAGACTGTCACCGTACAGTCTGTGCGTAGCAGGCAGACAGACAGACAAAGACTCAGAAGATTAATATAATTTCAACACAAAGTTTAATAAACCCACACAGGCAAGATAGTCCAATAAGGGCAGAGAAACACACCTAACGTGAACGTGACCGAACAGTCACACAGCTGAAACTAATAACACAAATGAGGAGCGGGAAAACTAAACAAAGGAGACAGAAAACTAATGAAAACAATTTAAAAATCTGTGAATAACAAAACATAACTGTGACAGTGACTATGCAGCAAGTCAAAAAATATAGAGATGAGACTTCCAGTGTAGACAGCTCCATTGATCATAATACATGCTATTTAGTTTAGATTTTGTTTTAATAAACACTCACGTCTTGATTAAACACTATGTTTGACATTTACAATTGCTTACAGTGTTTTAGTTTAGACCAGCTCATTCAAGTGTGAGTCATGGTCCAAGATCCATGAAAAGACCAAGACCTTGAATATACACTCACCTAAAGGATTATTAGGAACACCATACTAATACTGTGTTTGACCCCCTTTCGCCTTCAGAACTGCCTTAATTCTACGTGGCACTGATTCAACAAGGTGCTGAAAGCATTCTTTAGAAATGTTGGCCCATATTGATAGGATAGCATCTTGCAGTTGATGGAGATTTGTGGGATGCACATCCAGGGCACGAAGCTCCCGTTCCACCACATCCCAAAGATGCTCTATTGGGTTGAGATCTGGTGACTATGGGGGCCATTTTAGTACAGTGAACTCATTGTCATGTTCAAGAAACCAATTTGAAATGATTCAAGCTTTGTGACATGGTGCATTATCCTGCTGGAAGTAGCCATCAGAGGATGGGTACATGGTGGCCATAAAGGGATGGACATGGTCAGAAACAATCCTCAGGTAGGCCGTTGCATTTAAACGATGCCCAATTGGCACTAAGGGGCCTAAAGTGTGCCAAGAAAACATCCCCCACACCATTACACCACCACCACCAGCCTGCACAGTGGTAACAAGGCATGATGGATCCATGTTCTCATTCTGTTTACGCCAAATTCTGACTCTACCATCTGAATGTCTCAACAGAAATCGAGACTCATCAGACCAGGCAACATTTTTCCAGTCTTCAACTGTCCAATTTTGGTGAGCTCTTGCAAATTGTAGCCTCTTTTTCCTATTTGTAGTGGAGATGAGTGGTACCCGGTGGGGTCTTCTGCTGTTGTAGCCCATCCGCCTCAAGGTTGTGCGTGTTGTGGCTTCACAAATGCTTTGCTGCATACCTCGGTTGTAACAAGTGGTTATTTCAGTCAAAGTTGCTCTTCTATCAGCTTGAATCAGTCGGCCCATTCTCCTCTGACCTCTAGCATCAACAAGGCATTTTCGCCCACAGGACTGCCGCATACTGGATGTTTTTCCCTTTTCACACCATTCTTTGTAAACCCTAGAAATGGTTGTGCATGAAAATCCCAGTAACTGAGCAGATTGTGAAATACTCAGACCGGCCCGTCTGGCACCAACAACCATGCCACGCTCAAAATTGCTTAAATCACCTTTCTTTCCCATTCTTACATTCAGTTTGGAGTTCAGGAGATTGTCTTGACCAGGACCACACCCCTAAATGCATTGAAGCAACTGTGATTTGTGATTGGTTGATTAGATAATTGCATTAATGAGAAATTGAACAGGTGTTCCTAATAATCCTTTAGGTGAGTGTATGGTCTTTGACTTTTTTCATGGTCTTGGTCTTATGGACTTGGGAGCAGCATCAGGCCTCAGTCTTGACTCAACCTCAACCCTCTCCTGGTCTCTGTCTTGACTTGGACTCAAATAAGCTGGTCTCAACTACAACACTGACTTCTTCACAGGATATGTTGCATTTTTCTGGAAATCTCACATTTCAGAGATGGCAACTTCTATAAAGGATTGTTTTGAAGACAAAGTTTAGCCCTACTTTATATTAGGCTGTTCTTTCGACTCTTTATGTTAATATATAGTCAGTTTATTTGTCCCATCCCCTGTACATTTATTTACCAGAGGTTCAGAATATGTCTTCACCTTTCTCTGAAAGCAGCTAGGATCACACACAGCTTTCTCTCTGTCAGTACCCATAAAGCTCTTTACACTACAGCTTTTGATGGACATCGGAGGGAGAGGGATCGATCTGACTGAAACTGGTAATTAGCCTCCTGTGGTTCCAGATATTAGCCTACTCTCATGCTGGGGAACACCCACTTATTAGGATGTGTTGAAACAAGATCAATTGTAAAGTGCACAAATATTGACTTGATAGTTTAAAGGGATACTCCACCCAAAAATGAAAATTCTGTCATCATTTACTCACCCTCAAGTTGTTGCAAACCTGTATGAGTTTCTTTCTTCTGCTGAACACAAAGGAAGATATTTTGAAGAACGATTGGAACTTTGGCATAGTGCTCATACAGGTTTGCAACAACTTGAGGGTGAGTAAATGATGACGAAATTTTCATTTTTGGGTGGAGTATCCCATTAAGAATGCCATGAGCAGGCCTTCATAACTTGTCTCCTATCCATTAAAGAGCACCATCAGCTCAAAACTGGTTATTCTGTGTTACTATATACACGTTGCTCTATAATATATAAGTATTCATCACTACTCTCAAATTTCTCCCACCATTTTGACCTGCTACACTCTTTGCTTTCCTTTAGTTAGCCTCCCTTAGAGAAATGAGAAAGAAACAAACAGACAGAGAGAATAGTAGAAGGGATAAGGGGGCAAGAAAGAGATATGGACAGGCCCACTGGGAGGCAGCATCTCCGGGAACTATTGGTTTGAGACAGGTGCACGGGATGGTTGGATAAAGTGGATGTCAGCCTCGGCAACTACAGGACTGTCTGTGCTATGCTAATGAGCCGCAAAGATGCATTGTGGGAGTCCGTGGGGAGTATAGCGAGTTTCTTTGAGCTAGGCAAATGAGCAGTCAACGAACTACAGCTCTGACATAGCCGAGAAAAAGAGAGGTTTCTCCTTCTGTCTGCTGTTGTTTAAGCTCAGCTCTTTGTTCTCATGCTGTGTTTGCTGAAGTTTTTGTCTGTATTTAAAACCGACAAAGAAAAATGAGGGTTTCCCATTGTTTTTTTTAGCTAATGCTTTATTTCTGGGGAAAAACTTTTTTTTTGACTCTTTACCCTGATTCATGGGATGTTTGTCTGATTTTCTTTTTATATATATTAATTTTATATCAAGTACACTCCAATACCAGTGGATTTCACCTTAAAAACTTTTTAATAATTTGTTTAAAGAAAGGTCAATCTTTTTTCTTCTTCTATATGCAACATTTTCCATGAGCCTTACTTGGACTTCTCACTCTCTCTTTCTTTGTCTGCCTGTCTATGTGACCATGGAAATAAACCGTGCAGTGATGCACATTCAGATGGCAACGGCACTTCTGAACACTCTGAGAGAATGTTCACCATCAATAACGGTGGAGGGGTTGGAACCAGCAGCAGCAGGGGTGGAGACAGGGTAGGGTGAGTATAAACGATTATAATTTAAAAGTATAAATTTAAATAAAACAAAACAAAATTAAAAAAAAGAAATAATATAATTTTTGTTTGTTGGTTTGGCAAATGTAATAGCTTTTCATCCATTCTGTTGTGATATGGTATATATTGTGTGACAGGATTCACCTCCCTTCAGAATTATTGCGGAGTAGCCCTCCAATCGCTGTCCAAGGTCCGGGCAATAGCAGCGTGTCACTCAGTGGATGTGCATGATAGCAGAGCACAGCTGTGAGGCATGGCTGCTGCTAATTAGACCTTCTCACAGCAGCCATGAATCCAGCATGTTTTGCTGACACTTTTTTAGAAAAAAGCCTTAGTGAGGTGTGTTGACTGCTGATCCCATGTTGTTGGTTTTCATTATCTGACACGTTGGTGCCACACTTGTCCACAGTGGACTTAATGAGACATCTTAGTCCACTCTACAGCAATGGTGCTTCACCCAAAATTGTGATGGAGTTTCCGTCTCCTCTCAAAGCCTAACCATCCTGGCCATTATATTGCCAGTTCAGATTCAGGCTGGAGCAGGTGGCCGAGAGGAAGTCCACAACAGCATATGACTGCGGGCATCACATGATTAGGCATACATGATCATAATAATGGTCTACAACTGCCATTATCTGTCTGTCTATAATAGTTCATACTTAATCATTTTCAAAACAAGGCTTGATCTTGGAGACTTTGCTTTTTTTTTAGGTAAAGTTTTCATTTATTGTTTAATTCTAGTAATTCTTGAATTTCAGTTCATTTTAATTCTACTTCCTTTCACTGTAAATTTTGAATTATCAATTGAATTGGTATTTTAAAGATAATTCAGTTGTGTATGCCACATGACCCTGTCTCCAAGTTTAGTGTTTGTTATGAATTGCATTTCAAGGGTCATCCCGAAATGTAAATTTTGTAATCATTTGCTCAACCTCATGTTGTTCCAAACCAGTATGAATTTCAAAAGAAGATATTTAAAAAATATCACCATCAAAGTCAGTAGGGTTCAGTATTGTTTTGGACCCCACTGAGTTTCATTGTATGGACAAAAACAGTTGGAACATTCTTCAAAATATCTTCCTTATGTTCCACAGAAGAAAAAAGTCATACAATCAGGTTCAGAACAACATAAGGGTGAGTTAATGATGAGAATACTTTTTTTTTGTCAGTGAACTAACCTTTTAACTGTCTGTAATTTTTGGGGGAGGCTTTGTTTGGTTTGTTGGCATTGTGCACATATTGCTTTCTCCTGTAGATGAATCACTTCTTCTTGTATTATTCCCATTTGTAAGTTGTTTTAGATAAAATGCATTGTAGTATGTCCTGACTTAAACTTCTATGAAAGGAAACAACCTTGAGCTTTACCTAGCTAGCAGTTATACAGACACATATCCTGTTCTATCTGAAGCTCCTTCGGCCCTGTGCAGAATTGAACTGTCTGTCATATCAGATCAAATCAGAACCACCTTAAGACCTTGTGATGTGTCTTGTTTGTAGGAACAGCAGGACTGATTGGCGCTCACACAGAGAGATGGGCCTGATGAATGCGATTGGTCTGCAGCCACGACAACCCGCCCCCACTGTTGCATCACAGGGGACGCAGACACAGACTTTGCGGCTACAGAATGCAGAGACACAAACAGACCATGACCTTCCAGATGAACCTCAGCAGCCCAGCACTTCTCAGGGGTCACAGGTTACTGATGGTAAGAAATCATTACTGACCTCAGGTGAGGTTTGTCATTGAGATGAAAAGACAAATCAATCCTTGGTTAGTTTCCCATCTCTTCACTCTAACATATGGCTGCTTCTCTCAGCAAAAATATTCTGTATCCACAAAACATTATTTTTTCTCAGCAATTTGAATAAATTCAATCTGACTGCAGATTCTAGTACTCAAACTTCTATGTGCCTCAAACTTACTGTATCTGTCTACATGTGCAGCTCGTGTATTCTGTACATACAAAAGAGCAGCATTTAGTGTCAGCGCTACCACAGCAACAAGAAGCTGTCAGTGCTCCTGTCAGAGAACGTGGCCACAACTTTCATTACCTCAAAGACTTTTTTGAAGTCGTTGTTCTTCCCTCCTTCATTTCGAATGTTAAATGTCTCAAAGTCAGTGTTGTTATTGTTAACTAAAACTGTTAAAAACAGTGTGTTAATTAAAATAAAGCAAAATTAAAATAAAATATAAATATTATGTGAAAAACTTACAAAATTGTTGCCTTGGTGACTAACTGAAATAAAAATCAATTAAATATATATATATATATATATATACAGTATATATATATATAAATTAATGAAAATGTCAAAAGCACGTAACAAAATTACTGAAACCTAAACTTAAATTTAACCGGACAATAAAAATATGAAAATAAATGCAAACTATGAATAAATACTATAATACTAGATAAATTATACTAAAATAACACTGCTGCATGATCAATGCTTTATAACCCCCATCATGTTTATTTCTGTGGTGCAAAAATCAATCCTCAATTTTGGATCTGATTGTGAAAGTTGTCTGATTTACATGCCAGTTATTTTTCTATTTAACCGAGTATTTAGGCTCATTATTGGGATCGAGCTCAGTCGGATCATTTGTTTTTGAATTTGATTTTATGGGCTACTGGGCTTCATGTAAACAAAGCTCCTGTTTGGTTTTGTGTTATCTGTCATTCTGTGGCCTTTAGTGAGAAGCCTGAGAGGTGAAGAGAGAAGATTGGGTGCTGAATTTTCTCCTTATGCTAATGGTAATTACAGGGGACAGGAGAGGCCACTACACTGGGCAAGTTAATGTGTGTGTAGTATTGCTCTCATGTTTAATGGCGGTTAGCTTCAGAGAGAGCTTTTATGACAGAAAACACTACATTGCATCTCTCTTTCCTGGTACCAGCCATTTTCTACTCTGCCAGCCTCCAGTACCCATCAGCCCACTTTAGCTCTCTGCTCTTATTACTCTTATTCCGCATGTGTCGCTTTTAGCAACAGATGAATAAGCATGTCTCGATGAAGCTTAACTATTTTGAGGTCCCAGATATAAATTGCAAAATAACCAGAGCGACAGATTTAACCCAGCTGACACTTGTATTTTTAGATCATTGGGCTGTTTAAATGTGTTTTATTTATAAACATGGTTAGCAGTCGGAGCCGCTGCTGGAATGATATGTCTAATATAATGCCTGGTGGGAGCTCAACTTCAGAAGAGTCAGATCATACTGTGTGCAATATTAAGCAGCACATAATTAATTATTTACTTCTTTCCATATCTATAGATTGTAGTTGTAAATCTGACCATCTGTCTGAAGTTTCCAATCAAGTTTTATTTATTTGTCATTTGTACAGCTACCATAAGGTGTACTTGGCTTTGAAATGCATAAGATGAGGCTCAGTTTGTAGAGTACAGACAATTGACCCTTCGCAGGGAGTTTGATCAATCTGGCCAATCATAATCCGCCGAATCCACCATTTTTATCTGACAAAGCAGTCAGGAGAGTTAACGTTAGTAGATTAACGTTGGAGGATTTGAACTTGAAAAACGGAGTGCACTGACGTCTTTCCACGGTTAAAACAAAATTCCTTCTTATGTTCATTCATGTTTATTTGATGCTATAAATTAACTAGAAGGAAGAGATGATCGGTTCACAAGTAATTTTAACTGAGGCGCTACAGCGATCTGTCAGACACATTAAAGAGCCACAAGACGGTATTTATTGTTTAAATTTCTTTAAAAAAATTCAAAATTTGAAAGCTGAGACTTTGTTTCATACCAAAAGTAACTTGCTCTGTCTTGTCTGTCAGCGCGTTGTCAAAGTCCTCTCTGCTCCGCAATGTGTTTTTAACTGTGTGAGAACATGGTGGGGCTTGAGAGTTGCGTGGCTTGTCGGACATAACAACAGTAACTAAAGGGGGCGGGTCTTTGCGAACGGTAAATTGACCCTTCATAAAGACCCACCCCCCTTAGTTAATGTTGCTACGTCCGACAAGCCATGGCGCTCTCACGCCACACATCACATTCTCACACAGGGAAAAATACATCGTGGAGCAGAGAGGACTCTGACAACGCGCCGACAGAGTAAGTTACTTTTGGTATGAAACAAAGTCTCAGCTTTCAAATTTTTCAGCTTTTCAAATATCATACATTTTTTAAGAAATGTAAACAATAAATACTGTTTAGTGGCTCTTTAAAGTGTCTGACAGATCGCTGTAGCACCTCAGTTCAAACGGTGAACTTCCTACTAGCTATAGCACAAAATAAATATAAATTAACATCAGAAGGTATGTTGTTTCAACCGCGGAAAGACATCAATACAGACCGTTTTTCAAGTTGAAGTCCACCAATGTTAATCTATTTTAATTTGTAAAAGATCAAATAATTGTTAATGTTAATCTCTCCTTTCTGGTTGGTTTGTCGGACAAAATGGCGGATGATTGGTCAGATCGCCTGTCAGTCAAACTCACCGCAAAGGGTGAATTGCGCAAAGAAAGCACAGACACACATAAACACAAAATAAATAATATGATTTATTTATGAAAAAAATAAATATATACATTCACTGCCACTTTATAAAGTACACCTGTTCAACTGCTCGTTAACGCTAATATCTAATCACATGGCTGCAACTCAATGCATTTGTAGACATGGTCAAGACGATCTGCTGAAGTTCAAACTGCATTAGAATGGGAAAGAAAGGTGATTTAAGTGACTTTATTACACAGCTCTGTGGAATACTTGATTGGTCATATACACCTGCTAGGAACGATTTTTCTTCGTGGAAGTTTTGCATTTGGTGAGCTAGCTAATAGAATATTAAAACTCAGTCAAATCAATATTTTGTATACAGTTATTTAAATATGCCATCCAGTATCGTGGACTCGCTCTCTTGCGTTTCATTCAAACTCTGCTGCTGCCATTTTGTGACTAATGTTTTGTACACTGTTGGATTATAAGATACAAACAGGTACGATTTTAAAACAGTTTAATCTTAAATCAATACCTCTTATCTCCATAATTATTTATGTGGCGAAATTCTGTGTAATAAGTGGTATGACGTTAAACCGTATCTCTTAAATATCTGTCTAGTCTGAACTACATTTAAAGAGCTAATAAAATATTTCAACTCAGATCAATATTTCGTGTCTAATTATTTACTTATGTGGCAAGTAGCCGTGTAATAAGCAGGATAATGAACATCCAGCCAGTTGTTCTCTCAAAATAAACCCCCTTCAGGCTGATCAAGACCCCTCTGCTTCGCGTCTGGGTCCTCATCATCCTGTCGGGGGTTTATTTTGAGAGAACAACCGGCTGGATGTTCATTACTTTGAATGTGGCCTGATTGTTGGTGTCGCTTCTGTCAGCTAAGAACAGGAAACTGAGGCTACAATCCACACGGCCTCACCAAAATTGGACAATAGAAGATTGGAAAAAAACGTGCATATTCTGATGAGTCTTGATTTCTGTGAATTTGGTCAGAATTTGTCTTAAACAACATGAAAGCATGGATCCATCCTGCCTTGTATCAACGGTTCAGGTGGATGGTGGTGATGAAATGGTGTGGGGGATATTTTATTGGCACACTTTGGGCTCCTTAGTACACATTGGGCATCGTTTAAATGCCACAGCTACCAGAGTGTTGTTGCTGGCCATGACCATGCCTTTATGACCGCAGTGACCCATCTTCTGATGGCGACTTCCAGCAGGATAACGCACCATGTCACAAAGCTCAAATCATCTCAAACTGATATCTTGAACATGAAAATGAGTTCACTAAATGTCCTCCACAGTCACCTCCACAGATTTTAATCCAATAGAGCACGTTTGGGATGTGGTGGAACCATGGGTGTAGAATATGCACTTTAATAAAACAGAAATTTGTCCCCCTCACTTTTTTCGGGCAAGTGAGTTCACGTAAAGGTTCTCATGAATTAAAGTACATTTAAAGAGACAAGAAAGTCTGTGCATGACATGACGTTTTATTCTTATCCAAAACGAGGCAAAGTGAACATTATGGAGTGCTGTAATAATGTACAGTATTTTTCATTCACACTCGAAGTCGGAGGGCGCTCTTGTGCATAAAGTCCAAAATGGACTGGTAGAAGTAATAACTTATGATGTTCCAGTAAATCCCTTAAGTGGACCAAGGCATCCAACTATCACTGAATAAAAAGCAGAAATGTTTTGACTGATGAAATGTGGAGACAATAAACGCACGATTGTGACAGTTTATGGTTTGTGTTTTTAAAGCCATATCGGGGTATTTTTATAACAATAAAGTATATGAATAATGCATTGCTAATTGACGTAGCCTTTATTACAGTGTAGAAACTATAAAATATATTTTCTGCCTTATACTGAGATAAAAATTCAAATTCTTATTCATTAATCAGACATAAAATTGTCATAAGGAAAATATATCGAAAACAAATTAGTGATTATTGTTCAGCAGTGTATTTGATTTCTTAGCCTATTAGAAGCAGGAGATAAGAAAAATAAAACCTGTCAATTAGACAAAGGTCAGAAAAAAAACTGATAAAACACAACATATCTGTGTCCCCCTCACTTCTGAAATTATAGCTACACCCCTGGGTGGAACGGTAAATTCAATCATGGATGTGCACCCAACGAATCTGCTGCAACTGTGTAATGCTATCATGTCAATATGAACCAAAATCTCTGAGGAATGTTTCCAGCACCTTGTTGAAT